ATAGCAGAGAATAATGTATACTTCCAGAAAGCCACATCAATTTTAACAGCATCTTGTACAAGTATAGTCTGAAATGTAACACCACAGTGTATATCAGTTGTGCTGTTTGCTGCAAAGAGGAAAATTGCTGGGAGGTAGAAGCAGATTTGTTTCCCCTTGTTTTCCTCCCCAAAAGCAAGGTGCATTTTATATTTCAGAGCATCTTATAATCTGAAAAATACGGTATTTCAAATTTGTTAATTGCACTTTCACTTGTGTCTTTTGACTCTGCAGTTGTGGTGCATTGGAAGAGCTCATTCTTAAGAAAATATTACTTAGTTGAGGTAGATGGGTTTTTCCTCCCCACTTTCATCCAAACTAGAATATCATTTATGAGGACAAAGTAACCCAACAATATTTTCTGTATGGTTACAAATGAAAGTCAGTATTCTGCAATTTTTGGGAAGTAAATTGTCATGTTTCTTTTTCAAATCCAGATCAATAAGATGATGAGCTGACATGTTTATTGAATGAACAACTCCTAGGTTCTACTCACCTTGTATGTTAATATGTATCCTTTCATGGTTCAATTTGGAGCTAATAAGGGAAGGATATAATCTTTATCAGATTAAATTTACTCAGCAATGATAAAATAGGCTAAAATATAGTTTGCTACTTTTTGGCTTTTAGTATGGAAACACCACTATTATTTTAGCATGTATATATGTGTACCATAGGTGAGTATGTGCTATTGTCTCATATATTTTTTATATCTCTTGTTTATATAGCTGTGGCTTTTATCCATTTGTTGTTTGCATTCTGAGTCACTAGTGGTGAGATGGACAGCTAAACCATTTAAATAAATAAATATTGTGGTTTGCTGGTTTAGGTGTTGGACTGCAGTTCGGTTCTTAGCCAAAGAGGTTCATTAGGCAGTTTAGGGTCATTCACCTACCTCAATTCATTTCACAGGGTGGTTATGGGGGAAACAGGGAAAAGTGACCAATATATATATATTGCAGTAAGCTTCTGAACAAAACGAGCAATAAATGTAATAAATAATGTTTCATATGCAACTACATGATAAACAAGCCATTGTGTTTTGCTAAACATGTTTGGGTTACAGTATATTTTGTGAATCCAGCGAGAGCTTTCATTGTGTTGTTATGGAGAGGATTAAATAAAACCACTCCCAAATAGTATGAGATTTGGTGTCCTTGTTGCTCTCCAAACTTTGTGGTTTTCTTGCAAACATTTCATTACAAAACTAGGTAACGTCATCAATGTAAACTGATGACCCTTTCTCCTCAAGTGTTATAGCTACATGTGTTACAGCTTTCAGGATGCTTCCTGGATTAACATCAGTCCATATCCTTTATTTATTAGATTTGTATGCTGCTACAAACTGTTCACACAATGTGTACTTGGACTGCTTTGTATGTATACTTGCTTCTGAAGTTGCTACATTTGGCAGAAGGATTTCCCATAATAAAAGCTGACTTTATTTGTGGATTCCTCTACCCTGATTGCTGCTAATATGGTTCCTAAAGAAAAATGAATGCTATAAGGCTCTTATCCACCCACCCCACAAAGTCTGTGATACGAATATTTATAATTCTCTCAAAGGAATTAACTTGTTGGATTTAGAATGAATTTCCATTTGATCTTGATTTTCCATCTAAATGGAAAAAGTCAAGGCCAGACCCTTACAGAGAAGTTACAAATATCTTCTAAACCTGGATATATTCAATCGCCACAACATTTCTCTGCATTGGATTTAAGCTTTAAGCTGCACCAAATATTGAGAAATGTAGAATATGGAATACCTGCTGCTATGAGAAGAAATGTGGGATATAAATTGAATACATAAATAAAAATAAATTATTCATATCAGAAAAAGCTGAAAATAAAAGCAGGAAAAAGAGAAGAATCATAAGACACAGAGGGTAGCCTCTTATGAGTGAATACTTTTGGGCCAACCACAGTCTTTAATTAATTATTTATGTTTTCTTCTACATTGTTCAGAAATTAATTCTTGAAAGATAACTTGTCTCTCCTGTCTGTTGGTAATAAAATAAAGACTGCACACCAAAGCAAAATACTGAGGTTTTTTTAAAGCTGATTTAGGATCCTCACTTCTATTTCCTCGTGTTTTACTAGCAGGTTTGTATAGAGCTTTAGATTTGACTCCCAAAATTGTCTGGGAGATTGAAGATAGCATCTTTGGATACTCCTTTAAGAAGCCATACCTTTTTCCATGATTTCATGGCTGCTTGAGCCTACTGTCATTCTGTGGAGGAGCCATAGAATCTTGGGTTTCCCAGAGCATTATAAAAAGAAGTTAATTTGCAGTCAGAACGAATGCTTCAAACAGTAATATTCAAAATGCATGATGATATAACCATACACAAATGCATATACATGCACAACAAGTCAATACAGGTGAACTGAGAAGTTAGGCAAACAGATTATTTGAAGGAGTCCTACTGTGCTTAGCCGAGGATAACATCTTCATATGAAATAAGTTTATCCTTGTCTTAGACCAGGAGTGAGGAACGATGGCCCCTTTATAATTTGTGCACTTAACAACTCCCAGAATTCCTGGTTGGCTCAGGAATTCTGGGAGTTGAAGTCCACAAGTCATAAAAGGGCCATTGTTCCTCATCCCTGATCTAAGACTAATAAAAGTATCTGAATTAAATCAGTGGAAGAGAAGATAGAATGTTCCTTGACAGATTACGGTAAAGACAAATGCTTGGTAGAGAAGGATCTTCATGGCCTTGTGCAACAAAAATGAATATCAGGATGTATATCTATAAAACATAAAAAATAAATTCTGAGAGAAAGGTACTCCCTGGATTGATCACTTACAGAAAATACACCTTGAAGTGTACCAAGCAGAATAGGAAATAAGAATAGAATCAGACCTTACAAAAATCCTTGACTAACAAAACTGCTTTATTCTAAGGTTTGATGGAATAAAATGTATGTTGTTGGAAGGGATTTTTGCAAGATCCTACCTAGATTCTTGCTTTGAAGCTTTATTATCTTTATTTTACTTTACAATTCACCATATACTATATAGCTTTTAAAACGTATCTTATCCACACCATCTTTACATTTAATATATTTTCTTGGTTTCTTTCCAGTTACCATAATGTCCACGGATGGGGGTTTTGCAGGAGGAAACAGTGATGCACAGCAGTGTCTTCAGTCTTTCTGGCCTCGGGTCATGGATGAGATTCGAAACCTAACAGTGGTAAGATTTTTTTTTCATACCATCCCACAGAGAAATTTTTAATAGATCTCTTACTTGCTACGTCCATGAGCATTTAGTGATTTTTCATGTTGGGTTTTTGAAGGAGAGAAAGTTCTGACTTTTTACAATGTTAATTACTGTAAAATTGAAAAAAAATAACTTAACAATCTCCTCCATGGGTTGCTAGTTACTAGAGCAACTAGGGTGGGAAAATCACCCTTTTTTCCAGTAGACTCGAGGGGTGGGGGTGGGGGGCTACACATGGGATATTCCGAAAGCCTGATTGGTCCAAAGACTGAGGGAAATTTCTTTTAACATCCTCCTTTCCCTGATGGCTCCCAGTTCCTTTCAGTCTTTGGTTCAAACAACTGCTTTGGTTCCCAGTGTATTATTTGAGAGAAATAGGTAAATTTATTTAACATTCTATTCAATCCATTGGGCATTCTAAATTCAACAGAAAGCTGCTGCATCGCAGGGACAGGTTCTTCTGTCTCGCAGCGCTTTGAAGGAGAGCTAATTGGCCTTTCACTCTCTCCTTGTGGCACCGGGAGCTCTGACCGATCGCTGGAACTACGGGGGTGTCTGGCTCCTTCCACCAGCTCCGTGGGTGACGCGACAAAGCAGAAAGCGCTGGATTGGGCTAGCAACGCCTTTCCTCTATCTATCTCAGCCGCACACCCTTCAATCGAGCCGCGGCTATTCAAACAAGCCGCAGCGAAGAGAAAGAAAGCTTTAAGGTGTGCAGGGAGCCTGCAGTGGCCATTTTGGAGCACGCATGCGGAGGCGGCCATTTTGGACACTAATTGCACCTAATTGCATCGTGGCCAGTGTCGGGCCAGCAATTTGTTCTCTGGCAGTCCGCTTTTCACCTGCAAGGCCTCTGCATTGGCTGGTGTCTCCAAGGCAATCCCACAGGCCCCAGGGGAAGCACTCAATGAGGCCGGAACAGGGGGAATGGAAGGCCTTAGAACCAGGGCAGCAGCAGCTAAGCCATCTGTTGCTCAACAACTATCTAGGGCAGCCCAAAGGGATGAATTGAGGCATCAGCGTGCCCTCGAAAAGAGGATTGCCAGGGCAGAACAATAGACCCTAGTCATCAGACCCAGCTCCCACAGCAGATCCAGGTTCCCATTAAGGCCAGGATCTCACCAATTGGGCTCTCCTCCCAGAGGCTTCAGCCCTTCTTCTCCATCTGTCTCCCCTGCTAGGCCTTCCAGACAAACTGGCGTGGAGGTCTCTCCTTATCCTCCCAGACCTACCCAAGGGATTCAGAAGGATGATGGGGACCCATTGGAAGGTTCCTCTAGGGGATTTCTTCCTCATCACACCATAGATCCCCAGGGGCCCCTTGCAGACCAATATGAGGATGAATTTGAGAATTTAGAATGATTGCCTGAGAGCATTAAGAGGCTGATTTCCTCGGCCATATCAGAAGGGGTTGCCTCAGCTCTCAACCAAAGGGAAGCCCCCGCTCCAGGGGATAGGGCAACCCACTCCTTTCAACAGCCAAGGGACTCTTCCTCTGTTCAGAGACAGGTCCCTACCACGCCTCCCTCCCCCTCGGTGGTTAGTGAGGGTTCAGTGTTAGGCAAAGACCCTCGTCAAGACATGAGGTTTTCAGAGAATGAAGAGTCTGTTCTTCCTGATCCTCCAGCCTTCCCCAATCTCTTTTCTCCTCCTATGTTTAAAACTATGCTTCACAAGGCCAGATAGACCACTAAGGTGGGGACTGGGGATCCTGCTGTCCCTCAACCTAGGGACCCTAACCTAGTCATGTTTTCCAATACAGCCACCAATAAGGAGAAGGTCCCTGCCCCACCCTTGTTTCTGGAAGTGGTAAAGAATCAGTGGGCCTCCCCTTCCACCTTTCCCAAACCTGGGAGCAACGACCGCTGCTTCTACAACATGGAGCAGGTCTTCTCCCAGGCACTCCAGATGCCCACGGTGGATGCCCCAGTGGCTACACTGGCCAATGTGTCATCCGTCGTGACTGGTGATGTGGCTGATAAGTTAAAACCAGAAAACAAGTGTGCCGAACTTACCTTGCATAAGAACTTCAACACTTCCACTTGGGCGATAAAGTTTGCTGTGGCGGCCTCCTACTTCAACCGCTCGGCGGTCATGTGGCTTCACCAACTGCAGGATCGCATTCCTGTCCAGGATGAGCGACTTCAGCAGGATATCACCAAAATAATTGCGGCCACAAAGGTTTCCGCGGATGCTACCTAAACGCCGTAAAATATTTGTCCCGAGTCCTTGCTACCTCGTTGACTTCTAGGCGTCTACTATGGCTTCGCAACTGGCAAATGGACAACAATTCCAAATGGAACTTGGCATCTGCCCCATACGCAGGGACCAATCTCTTTGGTGAATCATTAGATCAGATTCTCATTGAGTATAAGGATAAAAAGAAGGTCCTGCTGACCAATTCCAAGAAGCCGGACAGCGGTTGGCTTCTTACCGCAGACATTCCTACAAGGGTCCTGAACCTGAGTACCAGCAACCCAGGTACTTTCCTTATAGATCAGATAGACAGCCCCAGAGACAGTACTATCATGATAGGGGCAGGTACCAAGGCCAGTCCAGGCGGCCCTTTCGCTGGGGGGAGGGGGGGCAGCTGTCCTTTCCGTAAAGGGAAATGACTCCAACCCGAGCATTCCCATCGGTGGCCGCCTGGCTCTGTTAGCGGATCAGTGGGACCAGATTACAACAGATGCCTGGGTACGAACCACAGTCAGACATAGCCTTCATCTAGAATTTCTCTCCATGCCTCCTAACTTCTTCCGGGTGTTCCTTCCCTCCCGGGATCCGAATCGTTCCCGCCTGATGTCCCAAGACATACAACACCTGCTAGACATTCAGGCGGTGGAATCGGTCCCCGTGACAGAACACAGGTTGGGACACTATTCCAATCTATTCGTTGTCCCAAAAAGCTCGGGGGGATGGAGAGCCATTCTGGACCTCAAACGCCTGATCCAATTTCTAGTATACAGGTGCTTCAAAATGTCTTCCCTGGGATCTGTTCTTCAGGGAATCAGACGGGGAGATAACCTAGCATCAGTGGATCTAACGGAGACATACCTCCACATCTCAATCCCGCCCGCCCATTGCAGGTACCTTCGGTTTTCCCACAAGGAATGCCACTTTCAATACAGGGCTCTCCCCTTCGGCCTAGCCTTTCGCACCTTAACGAAAGTCTTGGCGGCTCACCTGCGATCTGTTCCGGTGAGACTCCACTGCTACATAGACGATGTGCTCGTACAGGTCGACTCACATGCACAGGTGGTTATCGACCTCTGCCTGACCATCCAGACCTTACGGTCCCTAGGGTTTTCCACCAACTTCCCCCAAAATCATCTCTTGCTCTTGACAAAGATTTTTCATCTGGGGGCGGTGATAGACTCAGTTGCAGAACTAGTTTGACTTTCTCCAGAACGTCTCGTCAGCCTCCAGTCGTTAGCATGGCAGGTACGCGCAAGAAGGTCAGCTTCCATCCTGACCTTGGCCCGCTTATTGAGCAAGATGGTGTTGTGCATAGGGATTGTGCCTTGGGCCTGCCTCCACTCCTGAACCTTGCAGTGGGCCCTTATCCCATTCCAACGGAAGCACATGAGCAACTCCCTGCGGCTCATCCACCTGCCAGCAGATCTACGCCTGTCAATGAAGTGGTGGCTGTGTCTGGCTCTGTGACACAGGTCCCATATTTGGGAACAGGATCGCATAACCATCACCACGGACGTGAGCTTATTCAGTTGGAGGTGGGGGGGCTGATGAACTCCAGGTTGGCACAGGGGCGTTGGACTGTGTCAGCATAATATAAATTGGCTGGAGCTGAAGGCGGCCTGCCTGGCCCTCCAAAAGTTCAAGGAATCAATCTCAGGCCGTCATGTCCTTCTTTTGACAATGTGGCCACAAAGGCCCACATAAACCGTCAGGGTGGGACTCACTCCAGAGCCCTCTGGCTGGAAGCACTGAAGCTCGGCTCTTGGGCAGAGAGACATTTGGCGTTACTGGTGTCAGAACACATTTCAGGCTCTGCCAATAACCAGGCCAATTGGCTCAGCCATGTGACTATAGACCACAGGGAGTGGCAGATTCACCCCGATCTGTTCCGGAAGATTTGCCACTGCTTCGGATGTTCACTGGTGGATTTGTTTGCAACCCCAGCGAATGCTCAGCTCCCGAGGTTCTTCTCCCGATTTCCAGCCTGGGCAGCAGAAGGAGTGGATGCCCTTTGGAGCAAATGGCCTCGGGGCCTGCTATACGCTTTCCCCCCTCTCCCACGAATTCCGGGGACCTTGAGGAAGGTAGTGGTAGAGAGGTCAGACATTATTCTGATTACACCGCATTGGCCCAGACGACCTTGGTGTGCGGACCTCGTCCAGCTTTCCGTATCTCCCCCGTGGAGGATTCCTCAGGGGGAGATCTCCCTATTCCAGAGGGTCCTGATCCACCCGGAGCCCCAGTGGCTCCACCTGACCGCCTGGCACTTGAGTGGAGCCTCCTGAGGAAAGCCGATCTGTCCTCCTGGGTCATAGCGACCATAGAGGCATCCAGGCGTCCATCAACCACAGGGATTTATAATTTCACATGGTCGGCCTTCGTTAGATGCATTTCCCTCTCGTCTACTGAAAAGAAACGTTCAGGTAAGGACCGTTCTTTCTGATTTTGCAACAAGAGAAAAATGTTTATCAGCCACCTCTTTCTATGTAAAATATATTCTCTAGATACTCCTAAGAAGGACTAGTAGATGTATTTCAATCAAAAGTATTGTAACGCCATAAAAACCTTCCTGCCAGAGTGCTGGAATCTTCATCTGCCATTTTTCATTTAGTTCTTCACTGAAACAATGTCATTAAAAGTATAGTATCATCTGCATGCTTAAAAATATTAAAAATACTTTGCTCTTACTTTCAAGTCAGAAGAAGTTCCATAGTTGCATGTTGAGAAATGTGCTATTTCAGCAGTTGACAATCATCCATTTCTATGGATGGCTTTCT